TTGTGTGACATGCTTGGAGCATGTTGTGTGAAATTTTGTGACCTCTGGCCAGTAGATGTGTGTTGGTTTGGACTTCTGCTGGAGATATCCTTTGGGGATTCTGGTCGGGTTTTGCTGTGGGGCCGACTCTGGAAACGGCACCAGGATGATCCAAACGTGGGACTTCCGCTGGATAGGGCTCATGAGGAGTTCCAGTTGGGTTTTGCCATGGGGTCGTCTCATCCATGGGAGAGGCACCATGAAGCTTCCCAGGAGTTATACGATGGGGTCCTTGAACAGAATCCTTATGTGGATGTTCTTGGATTTGTGCCCAGTTCACCTTTGGAGCGACGACTTATGCGAGCGTATAACGAGAAAATCCAAATTTGGAGTGACAACTTATGGAGGAGCAGAGCATGAAAATTCAAGATTTGGAGCGGCGACTTAGCGAACAAAGTTGGGCATTCAATCCAAAGAAGGAATGCAATTAGATGACGTAACTGATGACGAAGAGGAGAACATCAATCCTTTGGGATTCTAAACTAATGATGAAATTGGGGAGTACGACCTGAAAACCAGTTCACCTTTCAAGATATCGAGATGCAACTCAACATTCCTAACTTTGATGTCCATGATCATAACATAGTTTATGATGATGATCCCATTTATTATGATTATCCACCTTATGACGAGAATTCAATTTATAATACTAATATAATCTTTGACAAATCTGATGAAGAATCTAATGATGAAGATCTAATAAAGGAAGAATTATCAATTGAATTTTTACCTAAAGATGTTGATATTAGTGAAGATGAAGAAGATTTGAGGACAAATATTTTTCTAGTAGAGGAGAATTATGCACTTATAATTGGCCCATTGCATATGGCTCAATCATTGGTTCAAGAAGTTTGGAGTCAACCTGAATTATGGCCCAATCAGTATGATGCGCATGTTCAAAGAAACAGTAATTGGGAATATAACAAATTACGATGAAATCCAAGTCCAAATGAAACAACAAATATGATTGTGATACGTTTTCCAAAAATGGAAAATCAACAAATTTGGCATGATTTGAGATCCAAGATTTTGGATGTATTTTGAATGATTTAATTGTAGTAATTTATTTATTTTTAGAAGGTAATTACCATTATTTTATTTTTAGGAATTTTTCTTATTTTACTATTTTAAATTTTGAATTGATTTATAATTTATCTATAAAAGGGTGCTTAAGACCCTTAGGGTGTGCATGACAACCATTCTGTTCTCTAGCACTGTTTCTGAAAAGAAACAATTCTTTTCTATTTCTGTGTCTTGGAACAGTTTCTGAGAAAAAAATGTGTTTGATAACATGTTCTATTTCTATTCTGAGAATGAGAGTTGCGTTTGATAACACAAAAATAATATAATAAAAAATAATTTCTATTAAGCATAAACTTTTTTCAGATAATCACTTTCCTTTCCATATGGTGTGATGGTGGTGGCGGGGGCGATGGTGGCGGCAGTGGTGGTAGTGGTGGTGGCATGGTGATGGTGGTAGTGATGGAAGTGGCTATGGCGATGGTGGTGGTAATGGTGGTGATGGTGGTGGCATAGTGGTGGCGATGTTGGTGGTGGCAATGACTGCGACGAGGTGGTTGGTGGCAGCGGTGGTGGTGGCATGGTCATGGTGGTTGGTGGCGGTGGCGATGGCGATGGCATGGTGATGGCATGGTGGTGATGTTGATGGCAGTGGCTGAGACGATGATAATGGTGGTTGGTGACGGTGGTGGAAGTGGTGGTGGCAGTGGGGATGGTGGTTGTGGTGACAACAGTAGCTGCGATGATGGTGGTGCTGGTGGTGATGATGGTGGCGGTGGCACAATCATCGTGGTGGGGGTGGTGGTGGTTGTGACATTGGTGGTACAACGGCGATGGCGACGATGGTGGCGGTAGTCGTGTCAGGATGATGGTGGTGGTGATGATGATGATAGTGGTGGACAGTGATTGAGAGAAATAAGTGTGGCTCATTTTGTGCTCGGAACAAAAAAACAGAAATTTTTTTATTCTTTTTTTTGTTCCCCAACACAAAAATTAAAGCGGTTCATCTCGGGAACAAAAAATTAAACCGGTTTTACCAAACGAGTTTTCTATCTATTTTTGTTCCCGGGAACAGAAATTAAAAAAAATTGATTCCAGGAAGGTTGTCATGCACACCCTTATTGTAGGAGTTGAATTTTGTTATTTTGCTAATTATATTTGAGAACTAGAGGATTACTCTTTTATCAAATCTAACTCTCTGTTTAGCCATCTTTTCTACGTGATTTTGACATCAATAAAAGTGATATCCAATCTAACATTTCTTCAACCGATATCAAATTTTTTTTATTTTTTTTTGATAACAATATCAAATTTTAGTTGCCTCTTAGATGTGGTAAAGTTTTGCAAATTTCTTTACCAAAAAACAATATTTTAAAGCTTAAGAAACCACATTATTTACATTTAGTTGGGGATTAGCAAGGGATATGCCTAATGTTTATTTAGTTACGATGAAATTTTGATCATGGTGAGTCATTAAAGTACAAATAAAAGATGAAATAGGTTCTCATAAATGGAAATTTTACTATCTTCACGCCTCCATCTTAATACTATGACTTTAAATGATACCTTCACTAAACTTATTCATTTTCAATAGAATGAGAGCATGAGACTAATTTATCAACTTGGTTTTGTTGCCAAATTCCTAACATGCTTAATAAAATTACATAAATCACCTTGTACATCTTGCACTTTTAATTAAAATACTTAACCTCCTTCTACTTTAAAATTAACAATTAAGCATATTTAACACTTTTAATACCAAAACACTCCTGTCTATGTTGGTCATTGACTCTTCAATAGCAACATTACTCTTCCAATGCCTTCTAAGAAACCAAAAGTAATCCAGCCTTAAATTTTTGTTTGCCCTTGTCCGGATGACGCAATTATTTAAAAGTCCATGGCAAGCATCAAATTTATTAGGGTGAGAGAAGTTGATGGTAAGCTTCTAAGCGAAATTCCGTCGTTGCAAGAAGAATAAGGTTTGAAGTTGTGATGATGGAATCTCATTAAAGGTAAACAACATTATTGACGATAAATGTTGTGGTAGAAATTAAGAATGGAATACAAAGACGATGTCATTATAAAAAGATTTGGTTGGATGAAACTTGATGGGTGGTGACTGATGGCAGGTAGAAGATGGTGAGGATGGGTATTTTTATCTTAAAATTATTAAATATGTTTAATTGTTATAATATTAAAGTTTAAGTGGATCATTTATTTTAATTAAAAATATAAGGTGATTTTTTGAAAAAACATTAAATTACAAGGTGGTTATGTATAATTTAGCCTAAGTTTTGTTGAATAAAATTTACCTTGATTTTGACTATTGTGGGTTTGAGGGAATTATCGAGCTAATGTACGGACTGATTTTCGGTTAACCGGTTCGATTCACTGGTATGGTTCGGATCACTTAGCAAGTGCCAAAATTTACTATAGCATAAACTTGAAAACAGACCTTTAACTAAAGATATGAGGGTATGTTTGATGTGACGTATAAGATATGATAGTATAAGCTTATATTATATGTTATGACATTTTCAGTTGTTCGGTGTGACCACCGTATAGTATAAGCTTATACAGCATAATCCCTTAATACATCAAAACGATGTATAACTTAATCCGGCCTAAGGGTGAGGGATAAGACCTGATAATAGATTGATGTATTAACATCGTTCACCAATGTAATTCTCAAAAATTAATATATTACTTTAATATTAATCTATTAAAATAAAAATTTATTTTTCAATATATTAATTTTTAAAATATTGAATATTTTTATTTTTATAAAAATTAATTTATATTTTGACACACTGATCAATAAATTTTTATAAAAATTAATATCATATGACATTTTTTGAAGAATTATATAAATTCTTTATTAAAGGATATTTTTATTAAAAATATTTATTTTTATCATATATAGTATTATACAGTGTATTATCAAATACTAGATGATATTATCTTATGCAATATATTATTTTATACAATACCATGCCAAACGCTTGATAGTATTAAAGTTCAATCAGGGTCTTATACAATCAGGTCTTATACTATCAGGCCTTATCCTATACTATGCACCAAACATGCCCTGAATGACGATGATATGACAAATAAACTAGGTAAATCTTTTATCATTTTCGCTTAAACATTAATATATATTTCTTAAAAGTAAATAAAAAGCATTTAAAAGGGGATAAATTTCCAAAACTTGGGTAATAAGAAGTAGACGCACTTCTAGTTCATGCTAAACCTCATTGGCTCAATCCTAGTCATTTTCCGCCAAGAAACAGCAGAGAGACTTGGGAAACATGAATATTGCTTATAATTATTAAAGGTTTCTGAGTTCCGAGAATCGTAATACCGTCTTCTTTTTCAGTTATTGTTGAAATTAATTAACCAATAAGTGTTTAAGGCACTAGTTTCCAAGAACGTCACATGAAACGTGAGCTCTCTAGTAAATATCAGAAATTTCGCTTTTTAATTAGAGTGAAGTCTTTCGGGTTCTAACAAAAAATACAATCATCATTTTAATTTCTTATAAATTTTTTTTAGTAATTTGATCCCTATGAAATTCAAAATGGATTCATTTTAGTACTATTGAAAAATTAATATGAATCTTTTTTGAATTTGTGAGGACCACTATTTCAACTAAATGAGTCTACTTTAAATTTTTCTTAGAGAACTCGGTATTAAAATGGGAACCGTTTTTTTGTTCGGACCCAAAAATTACTTTACTCTTTCAATTATTTTTGCAAACCGCATTAACATACATACACGCACTCCATGGATAATCAATTTCATTCATAAATTTTGGTGATTATAAACATAATACAAAGATTCGTCACAACTATTCATAATTCATACACAAGCCAACTCTTTAAATACCGAGTAGAGAGTTTTCTGCCAAGTACCAACCATTTAAATTTTAAAACATTTGCAAAATGGCCACATACAAATTATCAAGTGAATCCTTCATGTCATTCATGCTCTTCATCTCTTTCACATCTCTTATCTCACTTTGTCTTCTTTCGGAGGCTTGTCATGTGGTGGACAAAGAAGCACTGCTACAATTCAAGAGCAGAATTAGCCAGGACCCTTCAAACATTCTGGGTTCTTGGACATCTTCCTCTCACTGTTGTCATGATTGGGAAGGCATCACATGTGATTCCACAGGCAGGGTTATTAATGTCACTCGTACTGGCATGTTTTATGAGCATGGCTTTCCCCTAGTAACATCCATGTCGGGAACATTATCACCTTATCTTGGAAACTTAGCATATCTACAAATTTTGGACCTCAGAGGTCTGCAGGAGTTGCATGGTCCAATACCTCCAGAATTGTCCAAGTTATCTAACTTGAGACAACTTTCTCTCTTCATAAACAAGCTTTCAGGTGGTATACCAGAAGAATTCAATAAGCTTTCCAAGCTTGAAACATTGTACCTTGACAGAAATCAGTTATCTGGCAATGTTCCTTCATCTCTGTTTGGATCTATGAAGTCTCTTTCAGGACTTGGTCTGTCTGAGAATAAACTTTCTGGTTCTATTCCATCTTCTATTGGAAGCTTGACATCTCTCACAAACATTGATCTTCATCAAAACAAATTTGGTGGTAGTATTCCTGCAAGCATTGGAAATCTTAGAAATCTCAAAGAATTAGATCTCTCTGGTAATCAGATTAGAGGAAGTATTCCTGAATCAATTGGTAGTCTTTCACAATTAGGTACATTGGATCTTATGCAAAACAAGATTACAGGAAGCCTTCCTAATTCAATTGGGGGCCTTAGTTCTCTAACGTTTTGCAGGATATCAGAAAACATGCTAACAGGCATTTTACCTTCTTCCATTGGAAAGCTCAGGAATTTACAAACCTTAAATCTTCAGAACAACAAAATCACTGGGAGGTTACCTTCTGAAATTGGCCATCTAACCGGTTTAATTGACTTATTTCTTTCAAATAACAAATTTGCAGGCGGATTTCCACGTACCATAGGCTATTTAATCAACCTGGAAACAATATATTTGTCAGGAAACCAACTTTCTGGGAATATATCTGAAGAGCTTGGTGATGCTAAAGCTTTAGAAAAGATTTATCTTTCAAATAACAAGTTAAGTGGCAACATACCAGAAAAGGTCATAAATTTGAAGAGCCTATTGGAGTTTGATGTTTCATGGAACTCACTTACAGGAAGTATCCCTCCGCATAAGGCCATTATCGACACGTCAGCTTTTGTGGGTAATCCTGGACTGTGTGGGCCACCACTTCCTCCATGTAAACTTTCTTAGTATAAAGGTTTGCTTACTAGGTGAAATTATACTACAAAATAAATAATGTTTGAAACCAAACAAATGACATAATGAAATATTCTATGATTTCGCCCAAAGCTTCCTTACTTTCAACTATATTCTTTGCCACGCACTAAACATGAACGTTTTTTTTTTACCCTTTTGCTTGCTACTTTTAGCTTAATATATGGACCATTTGCAGTATCTGTTATGTCTCATTCGTATGCATATAGTAACTGCATATTTAACTCCCCTACTTAGCGATGGAAACGAAGTCCAATTAGTTTGTAAAATTTAGCTATCATTATCGCGGGTACCAATTAACCTTGTATAATTGAGTGCATGCATATGTGATATATACAAGGATACAACCATGATGCAAATGAAAGTTAAATAACGTCCATTTGGATAGATAACTTCAACTATTAATCATTACTTCTTTTCTTTTCTTTTTTTGTAAACAAAGTATTAATTAATCATTACTAACTATTAAAAATAATCATTACTAACTATTAAATAAGTTCCTATACATATCCGAGCAATCCAAATGGAGAGAAATTTTTGTCTTCTCCAGGAGATATCACATTATATGTGATTTAGTATAAGTTTTGTAAATATGGCTTTACAAAAGACAATAAAAAAGATCATAAAATTATACAATTTTAAGTAATAGTTCTAATGAATTATCTTATACCATAAAAGAATAGAGTAAAAATTTCTTATAATTAAGTTAGTAATGCATGGTCATTGTCTTTCGTATCGAGCACAATTTAGAATCTTGTTTGCTAATGCTGAATTGTTTCTCTAGGAAAGTCCATGACATATTGCATAAGATATTGGGTTATGATATTCTTGAGTGTCTTCTTGGAGTGCTATGATATGCATGTTTGATCATTGAGTGAGAATAGCTAACTCATTCTTTTGTGTAAAATATGCAGAATTATGGTTCGTCCAAGAGGGACTCCTGATCCTCCAGTTGACCAGGAAGATCCTACTTTAGCAGTTATGGCTAGGCCACTAGTAAATTGTCGAGGGAGTACTTCGCAGCCGGATCCTATGTTGACGGCTCTTACTGCATTGCAGCAGACTATGGCTGCAACAAGACAGCAGGAACTTGAATTAATAATGAAAGCTAATCAAGATATGTTGACAGTAAATAGATTGGCAAATGTTGAAATGATGAGATTACTTTTAGCCGAGGTGAGGGCTGGTGGGCAAGGTTTACAGCAACAGCCTTTACCACAGCCATAGCAACCGCCTTTACCACAGCCACAACAGCCTATTCCTCCCCCTCATTCTCTCCATGTAGAGGAGGGTGAAGAAAATAATAATCTAAATGAAGCGTCCAGTCACAGGGGTGGTGTGGGGCTGCCAGTCACCAATAGAGATCAAAGAGATAGAATGCTAAATGCATTTCGAAAACATGCACCACCACATTATAAAGGCGGCATTGATCCTATTGCTGCGATTCAGTGGTTAGAGGAATTAGATCATATTTTTACAGTTATGGAGTGTGATGATCAGCAGAAACTATTATGTGCTTCATATATGTTGCAAGTTATGCAACTGACTGGTGGAAAAATACTCGTCAACCCTTGGAATGTCAGGGTTAAGCCATCACATGGCCTTTATTTGAAAGACACTTTTTGATGAGATATTTTCTAGAAGAAGCCCGCCTAAGGAAAAAGGGAGAATTTGAGGACCTGAAACAGAGTCAAATGTCCATTGACGAATATCTGAATAAATTTAACAAGCTGACAAAGTATTCTCACTTCCAGAGAGCTCCGCCTACTGAGGAAGATCTGACGCTTAAGTTTCAAAGCGGGCTACATGATAATATTTATGAAAAACTTGCAGGAAACTCTTCTAACACTTTTATTGCACTTATCAAGAAGTGTAAACATATCCAAGAGTATTATCGAAAAAAGAACAAGGACCAAGTTGCTCTTAATCCTGGTCCTAAAAACACTACCGGGGGTTCTAAAGGTAAAGGTTTGCAGGTAAAACAGTTAGATGGCAAATTCAAAAAGGCTGGAAATTCTAAGTCCGGCAATTTTAAAGTTGTTGCTCAGTGCGCTACTTGTGGTAAGCCTCATTCTAGGGTGTGCAGAAAAGAGCAAAGATTGTGTTATAAGTGTGGCCAAGCAGGGCACTTTATCAAGGACTATCCCTTTAATGGGGGTCAAGTTTCTACCGTTTAGGCTATTCCGGCTCCTATTGTGGTTGAGGAACCATCTCTACCTCTTCTACCTCTCGTTGCCCGAGTGTATGCAGTGACTCAGCAAGAGGCTGAGAGGTCCGCTAGTTTGGTGTGAGGTATGATTTCTATCCATAATGAAATGCTTAGTGTCTTGTTTGATTCTGGTGCCACACATTCTTTTGTTGCTGATTATGTAGCTAAAGTATTTAATCTGTTTGTGACAAAAATGAGAACTCCTATGCGTATTGTTACGGCTGTGGGGAGTGTTTTTGATGAAAAGTATATTTGTAAAGACGTGAAATTCAAGTATGATGGTAGAGAGTATTCTGCTGACTTTATTGTCTTACATCTTGCCTCTGTGAATTTAATTTTGGGAATGGATTGGTTGTCTAAGTACTGTGTGAAGATCGATTGCTGCAGTAAGACCATTTTTGTCTCCTCTAATGATGAAGAGAGAGAGTCTCCTTATCTGTCTGTTCTTCGGGTTGTAAAGGCCTTGAAGGAAGGAGATTCCGGGTTTATTCTATTGGGAGGTCTGGTTGGTATCAATAAGGAGCCAATATCTAATATCCATGTTGTCTCCGAGTTTGAAGATGTCTTTCCGGATGAAATTCTGCACTTTCCGCCAGAGAGGGAAATTGAATTCTCAATTGCTTTGTTGCCTGGTGTGGGGCCTATCTCTCTAGCCCCATACCGGATGTCACCGTTGGAATTATCTGAGTTAAAGAAGCAGATTGAAGACTTGTCCAGTCTGAATTTTATTAGACCGAGTGTGTCTCCTTGGGGAGCCCCAGTGATCTTTGTTAAGAAGAAGGATGGGTCTATGAGATTATGTACGGATTACCGTAGTTGAACAAAGTTACTGTTAAGAATAAGTATCCTTTGCCGCGTATAGATGATTTGTTGGATCAGTTGCATGGTACGACTGTATTTTCTAAGATTGATCTTCGGTCCGGGTATCATCAGATCCAGATACGGATACTATGAGTATCTGGTTATTCCTTTTGGGCTTACAAATGCACCAGCCGTTTTCATGAGTTATATGAAGCAGATCTTTAAAGCCTATCTAGATCAGTTTGTGGTTGTCTTTATTGATGACATACTGATATACTCAAAGAGCAAAGAAGAGCATTCTGAGCATCTAAAGGTTGTTTTGTAGATTCTGAGAGAGCCTCAGTTGTATGCTAAGCCGTCAAAATGTGATTTCTGGCTTTCTGAGATACAATTTCTGGGCCATGTCATCTCGTCTGAAGGAGTGGCAGTGGACCCGAGCAAGATTGAAGCAGTGTTAGACCGGGAGCGTCCTAAAAATATTACCGAGATAAGGAGTTTTCTTGGTTTGGCTGGATATTACAGGTGTTTTATTGAGGGATTCTCACGGATGGTACTACCCTTGACACGGTTAACCCGTAAAGGGAACCCATTTGTGTGGACCCAAGAATGTGAAGTGAGTTTATAGGAATTAAAAAGGAAGTTGACTACCGCTCCGTTATTGATTTTACCTGATCCTGCAGATAAATTTGAAGTATACCACGATGCTTCTAAGTTTGGATTAGGCTGTGTATTGATGCAGCAACGTCAGGTGGTTGCTTATGCTTCTCGGTGCCTATTTCGTTGTCTACAGTGACCACAAAAGTTTAAAGTACCTATTTGATCAGAAAGAGTTGAATATGAGGCAACATTGATGGTGGAATTTCTGAAGGATTATGATTTTGAATTGCAATATCACCCGGTAAAGCCAATATGGTGGCCGATGCTTTAAGCAAAAAGGCACTTTGTATAGCTAATACGATGATTTTTGAGTATGATTTAATTGAGAAGTTTCGGGATCTCAACATTCCTGTGAATACAGAAGATAGCCCGTATTTGTTGACTACTACGATAGTTGATGTGACATAAATTTATTCCTATCTGAGCCCATTTTGATTGAAAAATACCATCCGTTCCCTCAGCTGATGAGCAACTTCAATATAAAAATCACTTGTTTTACACATTTGTGACAAAAACACAGTGGGGGAACGAATGATGACGTAATCCTTTGAAAACATATTAAAAGGGGAACAGATTGAGAGCATTTAATGCATCTGCTTCACTCATTTAGTGTTTCTGATCACTTTGCAGGAAACGTGGAAACAACGTCTCCATAAAGCAAAGGCGGTGCACCAACTAAACACAAAGACACGTGCACATCAAAAAATAAAGAGTTCTCATTGGCTAAAGAAGAAAGTAAGACATGAGGGACTGCAAGAAAACGGCTAATCATCAACAATAACTGTCCCATCAAGCAAGTTGCAAGCTTCCAAACACTGTTGCCACCGCCTCGTCCCTTCAGTCAAGAAACCAACTCCAAAGGATTTTACAAGTCTGCCACTCACTCTTCTCCCTATAAATAGGACGTCCCAAACACGAAGATATCATCGAATTCCTTAGGAATCAAATTCTTGAAGAAGAGATCACCTAGTATTAGTTAGTAGTTTAATTTTGTATAGTGGTAGCTATAGTTAAGTGAAAACACTTCTCCCTGATTCTGTAACATCCACTTGAGACTCCTCACGAGCATCAACCATTCTTCTCCATTTTATATTTTGTTGTAATCTTTCTTGTTTCATTTCAATATAAGTGTTTCTTCTTTCCTTTCCACTCGTTATCTCTGAACTGAATCTCGGGTCTATGAGACTTCAGTTTAGAATAATTATGTTTAAAGTATCAGCCATGGGCTGAAGTATCTGTGGAATGGATAAACTGCAAAACTCTTAAAGAATTATTTTCAAAACTCTTGACTGAAGCTTTTTGTATTTCTCTGGCTAAGTAAGCTATATTCATTGTGTATCAATGGAAATTGAACACATACTGAGAAAGGAACTTCCTTAAGGAAGGGATTTCAGACAGCTTAGCCAATGGGGGAAGGTAGTGTTTTGGCAACGACACTATTGGTCACCTTAGGAATAAGGGGCCACTTCGTCCACTTTAAGGTTCGGTACCAAGTTCCTGTTGGAGTCAAGGGGGCCATAGGAATATGGAAACTTGTGAGCCATCTAGTCCATGAGCTGAGGAATCAGAGTTGGTAGTTAAGAAACTGGGACAAAGCCAAAAAGTGCTAAGTCTTGAGCTTAGAAAATGACTATTTAAGAATGGAGCAGTGAATCCGTTCATTGTGTTAAACTGTTTTTAAAAACCATCCACTTTGTTGTCTCTTGATTATAGTTATAATTGTTTTATTTTTACTTTATTCAATCTTGTATCTATCAAACTGCAATGATTATTATCACACTTCCTCTTAAGCAGGAAGGATCACATGTATAACGCAGCGAGTAATTGTTTGCCATCAGACTGCACTTACTGTTCCTGAGGAACGTTGTCAAGACAGCAGGGAACGTTTGACTAGACAGTTCAATCACTAACTTTTCTTCTCATTTTCATTCTTTATAAAATAGTTTAAGATATTATTTAGAGTTCTATCCTCGTTGGAACGATAATCTGGGCATTAATACACCCATTATTACTTGATGCGTGCACTTGCGCACTTGGGTTGGAAGTAAGGGAACAACTCTGTTTTCTCTTACAAATTTAGAATAGAGGAACGCCCTCCATCAGAATATATTTTTCCACCATCAGCAAACCACCCAACAGTAGTCCAGAACTTGTTAGTTGAGCGTCTTAAAGAGGCTCAATTACTTGATGAAGATGTTCAGTCTATGAAAGAACAGGACTTTGTATCTACTGATAAGTTCGGTCTTAAGTTTTATAAAGATCGGATCATTGTTCCAAAGGCTCAGATGGTGGATGAGGTGTTGGCTAAGGCTCATATGGGTAAGTATACTCTCCATCCTGGTGCTACCAAGATGTACCAAGATTTGAAACAAAATTTCTGGTGGTCGAGCATGAAGAAAGATATTGCTCAGTTTGTAAACAAGTGTTTGACATGTCAGAAAGTTAAGATTGAGCATCAGAGGCCTTCTGGATTACTGCAGCCCTTGAATATTTCAGAATGGAAATGATCAGTATTTCTATGGATTTCGTAGTGGCATTACCGAGAACTCAGGCTGGTTTTGATTCTATATGGGTGGTGGTTGCACATTTCATTACAGTCAAGACGAGTTTCTCTATGGAGTAGTTGGCTCGATTATATGTGAAGGAGATTGTGAAACTTCATGGTGTTCCTGAATGTATCATTAGAGATCGGGATCCTAAGTTTACTTCTAGACTCTGGGAAGCATTGCAGCAGGCATTCGGTACACAGCTGAGACTGAGTACGGCGTATCATCCCCATACTGATGGTCAGACAGAGAGGACCATTCAGACCATGGGGGACATGTTGAGGGCTTGTGCCTTAGAGCAGGGGACTGCTTGGGATAAGTATCTGCCTTTGGTGGAATTTTCCTATAATAATAGTTATCATGCCAGTTTGGGCATGGCTCCCTCTGAGGCTTTGTATGGTCGTAGGTGCAGAGAGCCTACTTGTTGGTCAGAAATCGATGAGAGACAGTTATTTGGACTGGATATAGTCCAGGAGATTACTGATCAGATTATTATGATTAAGGACCGATTAAAGAAAGCACAAAGCCACAAAAAGAGTTATTATGTTGCAAAACATCGACCCCTAGAATTTTCTGAAGGGGATCATGTATTTATTCGTCTTTCTTCGACTACAGGTGTTGGGCGTGCTCTTGGAGTAAGGAAGTTGAGTCCTAGGTTTATAGGGCCCTACCAGATTATAAAGAGGGTCTGAACTGTGGCATATCAGCTTGCCTTACCTCCACATTTGTCAAATTTGCATGGTGTTTTTCACACTAGTCAACTTCGCAAATATGTACCTGATGTGTCACCATTGTCCAGCTGGACGATATTGAGGTAAAGAAAAATTTGAAATTTGTTGTGGGACCACTGAAGGTTCTGGCTCGCGACGAGAAAGTATTGAGGAACAGGTTTATTCCCACGATCAAGGTACAATGGGAATGTTTGACTTCTGAATACGCTACTTGGGAGCGGGAGAATGATATTCTCTAGCGTTATCCAGAGTTTGACGTCAGGTATGTGTTATGTCTTATGTTTGATTTTGTGGACAAAATCTTTAAAAGGTGGGGTGAATATGATAACCTTCACTAGTAGTTGTGG